TTAGAGCTGATTTTCAAAGCGCCTGATAACTGTAACTCAGATACCCTAGACGCCAGTGAGAACTTTTGCCAGATGCATAGCTTTTTGTCTCTTACATTTGTTACATAAATTGCCCAAGCACAGAACAACAAAGCAGCATGCACAAGTTGTTTTCAGCATGAGTTTCTAGCTACTGTGCATGCACGAAAATTTAAAGAGGCAAAAATAGCATTATGAACTTTCAAGCTTTTATAAAACTTCTATAAAACTTACCCTTGCTCATCTGAAAGCTTTTGAAACAGTCTGAGAAATCAGAAACCAAAAAAAGAAAAGATTCAGTGTCTTGATATTCATAACAACATTAACACCACCAGCACTCTCACTAAGTGAAGGGGAATCTGAAAGCTTGAGGACCAGCCAGCATGGAATAGCATATCAGAGATCTGACACTAGACGAAAAAACACATCAGGACTTGCATGACGTGAGAGTCAGACAGAAAACTGACAGAACAAGGCTGCCTGCAAGTTTCCAACGCTTCTGGTTTAGCAGTACTGCACAAATAGAGCCCTGTATTAATTCTACATCGCTTATTCCAGTGCTGCTGAACAGCATGTTGCTTAAAAGATACTCATTTCAAGAAACGAAAATTAATGCCAACTTGAGTCCCAACAAGAAGCCTAGATTACAGAGGCTGCTTTCTTGTTACTTCTTCAACCACTTCTGATACGAAGTTTAGCACATTAAGTGGAGAACCAAATTCATCCAGAGTGATTTGAGAGGATTTTTATTATTCTTGAATATGAGTACTTTATTCTATTGAATGAATTCTTAAAAGGTGAAGTATTTCCAAGCACTTCAGGAATATTCCTCAGTGAAGCTCGCACTCTGTTAACAGTAGTAGTAAGCTTAAAAATTAAATGCAGCAACATCAAAGTATCAACTGGAACATGGAAGTGCCTTAGTCACAAGGTAATGATGCAGAGCTGGGAGAACTGCAACTTGCAATGCCGTATTTTCAGAGCTAAGGAAACATTCGAAAACCCACTCTCCCCCAGTAAGTTCAAAATCCAAAGGAGAGCTAGGAAGTAGTTAAAAATCAGCATTCAGTCAGAGAACAGAAACTTTGAGTATACCAGGGAAGGATTAGGAGAAAGTATTAAATCAGGACTGTATGAAAGCAGAGGGAACATACTGGCAGAATAAAGTATGTCACAGTGGAATTTAATACTACATGGACATACACACCTTGCATGCACCATGACTTTTGGAGGGCAAACCAACACTAATACTTTTTCTCACCTCATCTAATCATCTCAAAACTGTGGCAGGACAGTTTACAAGCATTTTCAAACTTAGGTGGCAAGCAAGAAAATCAGAATGCCCATTTCCAGAATTCATCGTTAAAGCATTCACGTGTTTCAGAAATGTTTTTCCCAATTATACTGGGGGGGGGGGGGGGAAATATTTCTAGCCTCCACAGTCTTTTGAATAATCACTATTCTTGTTCAACCATGGGAAGACTTATGCAGAACTTGGAGCCTGAAGGAATGATAATATATTTTCTCTAAAATAGCAGCCTAAAACTAGAAAACATTGTAATTTTTTGGCTGAAAATATGGTATTGCAGTCATGAGCTTCTATTCAAAGCAAATAAGAAGCTTGTCCAGGATGCCACGAACAAATAGCAGATTGGCACTCTACAAATGGTTCAGCACAAGATGATGCTTTTCTGAATGGAAAGGGTTGAACTGCACTCAAGCGCAATCCGTGCAGGACACAACCTGACCTCTCCACCATCTGCCGTTTCTTGTGTCTAACTTTGCTGGCCTCCCTGATCGCTTCCCACTTCTTCCAGTCTTCTTCACTGCATGGACCAGGGATGAAATTTACTGGCTGGACGTTGCTTCCCGCCTTCCAAGATTCAATCTTGCGGGTCAGCATATCGTCCTTCTTATGGCGGGAAGATGGCGACAGCACTCTGCCGTTGCTCTTTCTTTCCTCCGGTGTTGTGTTTTTTTCAAGTAAACATAGAAATTTGGACCGGATCTCCTCTGGAAGACTCCATGGATCAAAAAAAAAAAGAGTGCTGGGTGATACTTGTCTGGAGCACCTGATAAAGGCACCTCTTTTTTCTGAGAGAGGATTTTACGGAAAATCATGTCATCTTTTTCCAAATCTGGAATCACAGGTTGGCCCTCTCTGGGTTGCAGAATTATCTCACCCTCTAGGGGAGGTTCCTGCTCAGAGAATTTTTTTAAATACCGGGGGTCTTGGAGAACAACTTGATTCACATGGAAAGCCCCAGTTTTCCGAACGAACAAGTCATCGTTTTCTAAATCAGGATATAGATATCCATTTTCTGCATCTCCTTGCTTGCATCCTGGTACAAAGGAAATATTCTTTCTACATTTTACGAGCCTAGGGCCAGAAGTAGGATCAATTTTGGTCTTCGTTTCAGAAGACAAGTAGTCAGTGTATTTTTGCAGGGCCTGAAGTAACGAAAACTGACTGAAGCATATAAAACAAAAGGAGGGAAGTAAAAATATCATTAACTAGCAAGAGACAAGCAGATCGCAATGTACTGTGATATACATTTGGTTTAGACTTGCGGTATCCCAAGCAGGACAGCTACTCCGCTTGGCATTCACCGCTATTAACCGTAGCACAGAATACGTCAACCAACATAAAGGTATCACAGCATACTAACCTGCTCAGAAACAGCACGCTTACATGCTCACACACAAAGCCAGTAACCCTCTACAGCGTGTTACATTTTTGCATTTACATGTTTCAGAAGACTGGTAACTTAAGGCTACATTTAAAAAAACAAAAACCAAAACCCCCAACCCCCCAACAAAATAGTAAGAACCAAACAAAGCGTGACATCACAGGACGTGGTTTAATTTCATCTAGCTGTTGCATATCCAGCCATTTCTTTCTGATGCAGCAAGAGTACAGCTCATGCAGTGATATCAACCTGGGCTGATCAGAAGCCTCCAAGATTTTTCCTTCTGCAATCTGTGACAATGAGCTTCCCACATATTCAGCAGTTGGTTTATAGCTCTGATCCCTTCTGCAACTGCTGTTCCAGTCAAAATTTGGTCTTGGTTGATTAGCAACAATGGCAGAGCTTTGTTTGTAAGCAAATTCCTCATCCTCAGAATCCGATTTCTTTCTACTGTGTGGCAGCACAAAGAATGAGCAGAGGGAAAGAAGAAAAAACACGAAGTGTACTCATTGAGTAAAATGCACAGTGGCAACAGTGCAACAGTGTAATGGAAATATATCAATTACTTTCTCAAAAAAAGAAAAGAGAGAAAACATATCTTGCTGCTACACTGGCAATAAAAATGAAAAATAAAAATAAAGTCATAAAATTACACTTTATTTATAAGTTTTGCACACAGGAGAGAAACAGGGGCATGCATGAAAACGCACCTGAACCCTTGAATCTCTTTATACCAGGGTTTGAAAGAGGATTTCCTGATTTTTTTCCACAGCAACTCTTCTTCTGGAGTCCAAAACTTAGGAAGAAATTTGTCAAAAGCAACCACTGTATTTGCCGCTGAAGAACTTAGCTTGCGAAAATAGAGATCATCTTTTTCAATGTTTGGAATGCCTATTTCTTCTTCCTCATCCTCATCAAAATACCCAGATAATTCTGAAGGAATGTTAACTCTTGGTTTGTTTTCCTCTTTAGTATCCAACTGCCTCTGCCTCCTCTGGTTACTGTTCAAAATACCCAATCAGTTAAGATATTTTAGGAGCAACTTCAGATAAAGAATGCAAAAAGACATGCTTTTTGGCTCAGAAGTTCAACCTCATGAATGAAGCAAATTAGTTCTCAATTCCATCACTGCAGCACCAGAAATAATAATATATATTAAAAAAAAAAAAAAAGTTACATGGTTATATCAGCATCCTATTGCCTCTGACAAAAATACGAAGTTTGACAGAAAAGGCATAACAAATTATCAGCTGTGTTAAAACACCAATTAGAAGACTAACTTTATGGAGTTATTTATGGACTGCAATTTGGGTAGTGCAATTGTTACTGGATCTTGGATTAGTATCTCTGACCTCAGTGGTTCAAGCATTGCAGCTAGTGGACCAGCTGGATAACTTTCTTGTGAGCAAGATTTAGGAGAGTCATTGCGCAACACGAAATGATGTCCAGGTGCGGCAGAGCTTACAGGGCTCTTTTTGACTAGAAATCTACGTTTTGCTAAGTCATCCATAACCACGTCAGGCAGCCTTCTTTCAGCTTCTGAATCAGAGTCACTCTCATAGATCATCTGGAGGGAAGCTGGGTTTGTGAGCCCACACTCTGCTCTGCTATTTTGGCAGGAAGCTACAGGATTCCTTTCACGTCCACTGAGGTTGACCAAAACAGGAACAGAATGAAGACAGTGAAGTCACAAAGGCAATGATGAAACCCAAGAACTGCCAGCTATTCTCATCTGTACGCATCAAGAAGCCAGACAACCAAAATTTGTCACCATATTTTGGAAGGCTTTAACGAGAAAACTAAAACCGTAGGTCTAGCTCTCGTGAACTTGCACTTAACATCATTTAAATCCCCTCTATCTGGAGTCTGACTAGCCTCAAAATGTTACTCAAACACCAGAAAACTAGTTATGTGGAAAAAGTAAAAAAATAAAATCAAAACAAAAAACCAGCCACGCAACCACACCAAAACATCCCCCCTTTAAAATATGGAAACTCAAATACTTTACTTTGTATTGTAGCAACAGCAGCTTTTCTTTAACTAATGAAGAAATTATTTATTTTAAAAGTACTAAACTGAAGTCTGCTTAACTAAGACCGCACACCAGTACCTTGAAAATGTTCCATCTGACTCAGTGAAGACAGGACTTGCCCAGCTCCTCCTGTTGTCCTCATTCTTCTCGGTCCTCTTCTTCCTTAAGGGTGCTGGCACATACGCCGTCTGCTTGTTTTTGTTGGGCAAGAACCGATTGAAGTCAGTGGTAGGTTTCGGTTCAATCATAGAAATCCTACGGTAAGACCTGTCATCTTTATGGGAGTCATGCATTTTGAAAGGCAGTTCTGAGTCTGTGTCACTGTCGCAACCTTAGAAGAAAGGGGAGGAAAAGGAAAGCACAAACATTACTCTCTGGACACAAGCTTCTAGCTAGAAGTTGCACCAAAATATTCTAAAAATCGATTTAACTCCATATTCAAGATATTTGGGGCTGCAAACTTGCTGAGCTACTGACAGGACAGCAGGAGAGGCATTTTTAGAAGTTTGTGGCAAAGCTGTGGTAAGGTCCATTAAGCGGAGTTTGGTTTGCATGCCCCTGCTACATTTGTTCCATTCTTTCACTATCACTGCTCTCTGCAGGAAAAAAAGCGCTAACCTCTAGAATGAAGACAAAGCAGCACAGAAGTTTTTAATTAAAAACATACTTGCAACTCAAATTTACTAACAAAGCCAAGTTACCAGCAAATAGTATAGCAACATGCTCATCTCACCAGATTAATGCCCAGTAGAAGGCCAGGGTAAATTGCATATGTAGCATGGCTGCATGTTGCTTTGCTCAGATCAGAAATGTGGCCTTGGCCCAATGATTTTATGTTATTCACATGGAACAAAATCCAAAAAGCTCACAATCTTTATAACTTTAAGTTAGATTACAAGTTTGTATTGAACTTTAAAACGGGGAGAGAAACACAAGGTTAGAGTAGAGCTGCAGGGATCCAGTGTCACAAACTTTCTTCTTGCTACCTTTCTTTCCATGACAAACTATCAAAAGTAACAACTACTATTCAGTTTTCAACCTAGGCGAGAAAAACCCTACTGAATATTGAATATTCACAAATGGAGTAAAGACATAGGAGGTTTTACATATCCACACTAGTAACAAGGCAAGAGACTTTTGCAACTGTTTAATTTTAGGTGATCACCTCAGGATCTGAATTCTAGCGATTTCCCTACTTGAACTATGGGAAAATAGCCCGCACATCCTCACAACCTAATGTGGCTGTGAAAGCAAGACTCACAGAAAACCCTCCTAGGAAAATTCATGTGTGCGTTGCTTTGTTTCTACCAACTGTTAAAGGTCAATATTTGCTTAAGCAAAATGCAACTGCAGCAGTTGCACAAGTAAAACTGGCTTGAAAAAGCATCTCAAGTATGGTGCACTCGGAGTACTAGGTCCATGCACTGTCTTCTATCACACTCGTAAGACACATGCCAACAAAAGATTTAAAAGAGGAAAAAAAAAAAAACCAACATACCTTCACTGCCACCTTTCAAGGTTATATCTGATGAAAAGCTTGTGGAGGACCTTGAACCAAGAGAGTCCAAGCTATCAAAAGAATCGTCTCTTTTATGGCTAGCAGAAGACGAAAAGGGCTCTCCCCGGTCGACGTACCAAATATCACCGTAACCACTATCCCTGCCACTTCTGTTCACGTGGCTGGACTCTTCAAGTGCCTATGAAATAAGTTTTGAAAGGTCTTTTGCAATAATATGAGGTGCAGTGCTACTCGTCAGTTTTTGCTAAGAAATGTTTAAAAAGCATTTTGAGCACACAAATGGACTTTACCAAAGACTACTGCAAACCCCTAAAAATGACATATACAAAAGCTTGGATAGGAGATTCAATACAAAGTCTTAAATTTCTCTTATCTTAGCCAAAGGGAATCAAGATAAGGCTTTTCACAATCTACCACATCAGTAAGAACAGGTGGATTCTGAATTTTGTGATTATATAGGTAGCAAAAGAACCAGTGTAAGCTAAAAATCATTCCTTTCACATGGACTTTGATAGCAAGCAAAACAAACAAAACGAATGACCATGTTCTCTAAACTAAGAATAAAATTAACCTCCCAAAAGATTGTTTAGAGTTGATGCTGTAATGTATAAAAAACTATATGTTTACTATTCTTTTTGGATTCCTTACCTTAGTCAATGCTTGCCCTAGTAACTTCTCAAATGCCTTAAGATTGAGGTATGGACCATTATAATGAGGGTTACTTTGAGCTTTTCTCCCAAGCCAGTACAGTGTAATCAAAACCTAAAACCAAACAAATTTAAAAAGAAAATATGAATTTAATTACTTTCCTCTCAAACCATGTACCAGTGTAAAAGCATCTCAGCACACTTAGTGATGTTTTCCACAGCGAAGCGTAAAATCTTGTCTACAGCATTAGCCAGGATCTCCACCAAAACCAATTTAAAAGTGCTACGATGCATCTCATCTATCTCAAGCAAGCAGATATAAGTACTGTTTCTGATTATTACATTTATTTGGGAAAGTAAGCTGCACAGAGATCATCATAAGATGGCACTAATTTGCACCAGATAAATGAACAGCTGAAGAATAAGGTAAACATGATAGCACCATAAACAGAAACGCGTTAAAAATATTTAATCAGAATCAGTGTGGAATTGTTTCAGAAAGCATTGAAGTGTGTCTTACATTTTTCACTCTTCTGTTGGTCTCCTCCGGTCTGAAGCAGGGCAGGGAATGAGAAAAACAAAACAAAAAACTTTTAAAATATCTGGCAAACTTTTAAATCTTGAATAATAATTAAATTTTTCAAGCCCAATTAGAGGCTAGTATAAAATGTGCAACTATGTTCCAAATGAAACAAAAAGCAATTTGCTTTGAATTCACAGTCATAACTCCATACTATTTCAATCACTGCGTATAAAACAAGAAACTAGCCGATCTATTATAGTTTCTGATTTGAGAAGAACTCAAAAAGGCTCTAGGCTGTTTTGATTAGCTAAGGGTTTTTTTTTACCAACAAAATAAAAGTGGAAAACAAGCTAATGACTTTGGGAAATACAGTCTTTATCAGCCAGGAAGATCTTCAGTTACATATGAAAGCAGATTCAATTGTTACTTTTTTTTTTTCCTGATCGTATTACATTTTCCAGAATATTTGCCTCAGACACAGAGAATACTTCAGCCTAATAGAATTTTTCAGACAAAAATGAGCAACTGAAACTGGGATATTTGGAGAGAGATGTTGTAGGGCTGGAATGAGGGGTTTGGTTTGCTTTTATGGAAGATACATGTTTCTCAAAAATAAAATTAAATAAACATGCAATCACTAACATTAGTTAACTTTTTTAATATACATAGCTCATTTGTGGCACACCTTAGAAGTGCACTAACACACACTCACAGTGGCCCTCTTCTCTTCCCACTCATTTTACGAGCAAGAAGAAACTTTTCTGGTAGGAGCCTCCCAAACATGGAGGACTCACTCAGTTCTTAGGTGTACTTAAATATTCAGGGTCGTACTGCAGACAGCAGCTACACTGCTGCCGCCCGCCCTGCCAGCAGCTATGGAAGGGCAAATGGCCTTAATACACCAAAACGATTTTTCGACTGCCCCCCACACTGTTGGTTTGGGGTGGCTCGGCAGCACCTTCACATACAGCATGGTGAGGGGGTTCAAACAAAAAAAGCCATGAGTTAACATATGGCAGCAGAACCCTGGAACAGGTCAGACCAGCGACGTACCAGGGCACTTACCCTGTTTCTGGCTGTCTAGGAACAAGCTAGTAGTCAAAGGTTGCAGGGAAAAGTAAAATAAACCGTTCAGGGGACAGTTACGAGGTAGCAAAATGGTGACGGGGCCTGGTCAGCATTGACGGCACTCTTCACGGAAATACGATAGTTGGTGCAACGTGACAACCAGCAGGAACACAGACCGTCCCTCCTTCTCTTTCCTCCTAGTTTGGCAGCACCCGCTCCCACTCGGTGTGGCCATAATTGCCTTGCCCATCCCCAACACCATAAGAAATCAGGCTGCTGGGAACACAAAGTCCTGAGATGGATCCGACCTACGCAACCCCCACCTGCAGCTTCCTCCTTAGTATCACATGCCAAAACTGCGACTGGCGTTCTAGCCAGCAACCTCTTTCTCATGGATAACAAGGAATCCTTCTCCTTTAATGTGAAATAATAACACCACCTTTTTTTTTTTTAATTTTTTTTTTTTTTTAAACCACCTCTGAAATGTTGTTGTTCTTTTTTCACTGGGCATGATACAGGAGAATTTTTTCTTCTTCTTTTTCTCCAGTACATGGGATTTAGTTTCTGGCGTCCATGCTGCAGGACACACCATGGCTGTGACCTAACATGCTGACCAGAGACAGATTGGTTTCCCAAAAGGATGGAAAATTATTCTTGTGGTGGCGTCATGACACTTCCCACATCTGACAGAGAACATTTTAAAGGTTTACACTCTTTAGCTTCAAGGTCTTTGATTGCCTTTAGTTAGGGCAAGAATTTCTCCCATTATTTGCATTATAAAAGCAGAGGCCATGCATGCCCTTGCTAAGGTTGCCTTCAAGTTTGCTTCCAAGCTTTAGCAGCCTAGCAAGCAGTGAAAAACTCTGCCCTTGGCCAAGGGCAGAGTCTGTATCCAAGTGGCTGCCAGCCTTCATGTATAAGCAAAGCCACTGATTGAACATAACGGTGTCCACTTCTGCTCTCCATGAGTTCTCAGGGATCATTTAGGTCAACTGTTTGCAACAGGAGCAACATTCAGCTGTCTTTATATTTGAATATATTTTCTATACTAGAATAACCATTAATACACTAGGCCTGCATACTTGGGCTATAAACACTGCAACACTTAGGACATTCAGGTAAACCAAGGAGCGTAGTTGAGACCCAAGGTCCAGGCAGGGAGATATTTTAAACACTCGAATGAGAGACAGTAGTCCATTCACAGGTTTTCTCAGCTAACAGAAACAAATGGACAGGTTGTCTACTCCTTGTGAGCTAAGTTTCTTCACTTGCATTACTGCTCTCCTTCTCTGAACTATGCCTCTTGGTCTCGAAACCTTTTAAGCAACTTGTCATGATAGATGCAGTCCGAGAGGAATTAAAAACAAAACAAGAAAACCCCAGCTAATCTAGAGCAGCCGGTTCCTCATTTATATAGGCACATAATAATTTTTCAGTGGTGCTTACCCAAGGAAAAGGAGGAGGATTACGGTTGGTTAGTGCATTGTCCTAAAATCTGTGTAAAACAATAGGTATATAATTTTTTTGCCAAAAGAAAGTCCTGAATAAAGA